CTGTGCATGTCTACCCAGGCTCCTAAGGATGTCTGACCTAGTGATTCAACTGCCGAACAAATTTCTCTGCAACACCTCCAGAATGTAGGGATTCCAGATAGATCCTAGTTGACTACAAAACTAGAGTAGTCATAGTATTCATTCTGTTAGTTAATGATAAAAACCTGTATGAAAGCTATACAGCTGCTATTTATTTCCTTAATGGAAGTAAACAGAACAAAAGATAAACTTACGGTTCAATGGAGAAAATGTAAATTATTAGAATCAAAATCTTAAAAACCCGAATTTGGACTTTGTCCAGAGAAATAATAAGTCAGAGATTATTCTACAGTATGAATGATAAAACATATAGAAATTCCAGAAACAGTAAATCTGACAACTTCCTTTGTACTTTTAATATCTTAGTTATATAATAGTGTATTAGTTATAACCATTTGTCATTATTAGACCAGAGATTCCTTAAAGATAGACATTACAAGGTTCAAGAGGTGGCGTGGTGGTTAAGTCATTGGATTCCCACATGACCAAATGCAGTTCAAGTCTTGGACCTGGCAGCTTGAAAATTATGTTGGACATATATGTGTATGTGCCCCAAATCCTGGGAAGAGAATGCAGGAAAATAAGCTGTAGCATGGCCATCTCCCCTTGGGGGTGATTTCTCACTTTCCCTTTCTCTGTCTCCATCAAGCACACAAGCCTTATGACAAAAACTTTTAAAAAAAATGTAAAAGAAAAAAAATATTATATCATATCTCTATTTCTTCACGTTCTAGTATACTATCTGACATATGGTTAACGCTAAAGAAATGTTCTTTAAATAAACTAAAAGAATAATCTCTAGTTGAGAGTTTAAGAAATACATAAACCTCTACTCTCAATCCTAAAACACATATGTGTATACACATATACACACATGTATAAAAGAGAGAGATGCTACTTTCTCTCTTCACGAAAATTTAAGAATTAGAAATTCCACATTTTAATAGAAGGCCACACATTTTCCCAAGGAACAGTAGCGTATCAACTTGATCTCCAAAGCAATGCCTTTGATCTAAATATGGTAGATATGTAAAGAAATAATGTCACGGAGCCAGCATATGGCATAGCAGTTACATCGCTGGACTCCCACATTGCCAACCAGTTACAGTCCTGGATCTGGAAGCTTGAAAATCACGCTAAGTATGTGTGTGTGCATGCCCAAGATCTCAGAGGTGAATAGAAGAGAGGGAATTGTGATGTGGCCAAACCTCTCCCCAGGGGGCTGAGGGGGGTGATTTCTCACTTTTTTTTCCTCTGTTTCTTCAGCAGGTGCACGCACCCAATAGCAGGGGCAAAACACACACACACACACACACACACACACACACACAAACAAAACTCTGTCAAACAACAACAAAGAAATACTGTCATTTGGCTTTAATTGCAAAACTGAGGTGGTCTTACAGAGAATAGAAAATGTCTTAGGTGATTCTAAGACCTCTTCTAGCAGGTCGTCAGGAAAGTCATGATGTGCTTTTCTATGCAAAAATGTGTCATGACTTTCCTGACAACCTATATTTCCATACTTTCTAAAGATATGTGTATGTGTGTGTGTGTGTATATACATATATAAATTACTTAATTAAGGGAGCCAGCAGGTGGCATGGAGGGGTAAGGCTCTGGAATCCCAGATGACCAATCACGGTTCGAGTACCAGACCTGAAGACTTGAAAATCACACCAGGTACATGTGCATGCATTCCCAAATTCCTGAGAGGAGAATGGAGAAGGGACTGCAGTGTAGCCATTGCCCCTAGGGAATGATTTCTCACTTTCTCTCTCTCTGTCTCTCTGGTCTAAGCAACATCTTAAGAAAAGGTCTCAGAAATGGTCAGAATTCAAACTGGCAGAAACTAGGCCACAGAGGAAAGTTCTGGATAAGCTGTGGGGGAGAAGTAAGCAGTCTCTATTATTTTCCTAAAGGAACTAGGAAACTACCAAGTGGTGCTAATAATGATGATTTTTACAGCAGTAGCTATTATTTTATTGAATCCTTAAGGATTAATGCAGGTTTTATGTCAAAACTTCACAGGATTCAAATGCTTTCCTGTGTGGACCAAAGCTGGTGCTGCTCATAACTTCTATGTAATAATATCACCTGCAAAAGATCCTGGTAGGAGAGTGAGGACATAATTATACCTTCTCAAAATAAAACAGATTATGCAGATACCTTTGGGAAAAAAGAAAACTTATGATCTCCTTGAAGACCTCTCCTGAGCTACAGAAACCACTTATTTATCTGCCTTATGTACATATTCACTTTGAAGTCCTAAAGGCAATCTCATAACTAGTCAACTAAAATGGAACTCATCTATCATGTTCCCAGTACACTTCTTTTCTGTTCCAGCATCTTTCAACTATCTACAGTAGTACAAGAAGAAAAAAAATCTTCAGAATGCACTGCCCAGTCTTACAACCATCATTATTTCTACTTACCATTTTACCCCTACTACAAGTGTTATTGGGGCCAACTTGGACTTTACTTATCCTTTCTACCTGTAAAAGAATATGAGTATTGGAACTAACCAGACACCTGTTTCACTATTTAGCATCTGTGTAATCTAGAACTAGTTACTATTATTTAACATTTTCATTTATCTTCTAAACAAGCACTTTATGGGAAGCAGAGTGTGTTCATCTTTATTTTACTGTGAAACATACATAGTAAAATGGTTATGAATAAGTAACTAAAGGTGTTTGCTCTAGTAGGATGCCTCAGTGAAATGCAAGTTTTCTGCTCTGACGTTCTAAGAAATGAAGACTTCCAACATGAAGCAAAGATACCTGACTACTATCTTCGATATGTCCTTAATGAAAGAAGGGGAGGAGGGCTCCAAGGTCTTTAACCCTTTGGCTTAAAAGCCATGCTAGGTATATGTGAATGCATGCCCAAAATCCCTAAGGGGAAAATAGGGAAGGGGCTGTGGTGAGGCCCCCCCCGGGGGGGGGGTGATTTCTCGCTGTCTTTCTGGTGAACGCACATGCCTTATAGCAAAAATCTCTTTACATACATTTTGTATGTTTCTAAAACATACACAAAAAAAAGAAAGAAAGAAAGAGTCAGGGCCAAGAGGTGGCGTGGTGGTTAAGGGTGCTGGACTTCCACATGGCTGACAACAGTTCAAGTCCTGGACCTGGTGGATTGCTTTCTCACTTTCTCTCTCTGGTCAAATTGAAATAAGTAAATAATAAAGTTAAATAATTATTTAAAAAAAGAAAAGGAAGAAAGGGTCAAAAAAAGGAGATGGGGGAGGCCCAGCTGCAGTAGCATAGTGGTGGTACTATGCTCTGTCATGCTGGAAGCCATATGGAAGATGGGGGTTTGGTTCCCATGTTCACCTGGGCACACTGGGAGTAAAACTGTATACTCATTATCCTAACTGGCTGAGGAAGGCTATGTGTGTGCTGTGGCAGGAAAGTCACAGTGTGAGACCCTGTGTAGTATACTTTTTCTTTCTCTCCTTCTCTCATGAAAGAAAAGAGGACAAAGTCCAAAGTAATTTCCATTTAACATCTCAAAAATATTAGAAATGATGATGAATGAAGGATGCCAGGCACGAAAGAATACACACCACACCATTCTGTTACTTTGAAACCCAGTACCAGGGAAAAACTAAATTATGGTGATGAAAGTAAGAATAGCGTTACTCTCAGGTGAAGAGGGAAAGGATATTGTCTAAGAAAAGACCTGAGAGAATCTCCATGGAATGATAAAAATATTCTATATCAGTATCTTTACCTTGATTTAGGTAATGGTTTAATAAGTACATGCTTATATAAAAACTTGGGCTGAGCATTTAACATACGGGCACTTTAAATATAATAATACTGCAAAATAAAAGGAATTACAGTGGCTGGGGGGAAATCAAAATATGGACCATAAAAACCATGTACTATTTTATAAACCTCAGCTTTTCCTTTTTTTGATACATTTTTTAAAAATAAAAATACTGTTGTTTGTTTCAAATTCATAATAGAGTACATGCAAGTGAGGGAAAAAGAGACAGAGTGGTACACCCCTCCACAAGGTCTACTCTCACCACAATCCTTGTCCTCTAGCCCATTGGATCCTGGGCACTGCCCACCCTGTTCCAGGCTGACTGGGTTGGGGACTTGAACCATGGCCATCTTGTGGGGTAGAACCTCTTTTGAGCAGTATATTACTGCTGTGTTCTGGAACCATCTCTGTAAACTTGAGAGTTTCTATGGTTTTAAGTTTTTGTTGCTATTGATCTATTTATTCCTGGTGATAAGTAGTAAATGTGTTACACATTTGGTATTTCTTTGAAAGCATCTAGGAAGGTAGAAGCTGGGCAAGCTATGTTGCCTCTGTGACTAAGTCTTAGGGGGCCAGAAATGGAAAGAACTGAGTGAGCGGTAATAGATGAGTGCCTGACACAAGGACAGGAGTGCACTGGGAGGCAGTTTGGGCCTGATGAACAGTAAGAAATTCCAGAAATTCTCAACAGTTAATAATTCTTCTACATACTATAAAATAATCCCTGATATTCTATAGGTACTTACGGAACTTTATTTACTTGCTTAAAATACACTCATTCTACCAACAGAATTTTTTAAAATTATTTTCTCCACAATCAGTCTAATTATGAAATCTAAATTTAGGCATGAGAAATATAGTCTTCTATAACCATTAACAGCTCTGGATAAAACCTAGGAAGAGACCTGTGCATGACACGATGTGAAGCTGTACACATTCCATTTTATAGCTTTCATTTGCTGTTAGAACCATGTGCTTCTCTGACACATTTATGGAAGATGTTTGTGAGAGTCACAAAGGGGGCATGAGAACCAATGAACAAACAAACCTAGATTAACCAATCTTTTACAATCTCACCATTCAACAAAAGGAAAAAAAAATGAATGCAATGGTCTAAGAAAAAGAATATAATGAGCAAAGCCCAACAACAAACCGTCTAGCCATCTGGATGATTCCATTCTCACCTTTGTCACGCTCATACAGCAAATCTTCTGTTGAGCAAGGGCTACCATCCTGGGATTCCGGGGGACAAAAGGGAGAGACGCAGGGTGAATGACTGCTGCAGCTACTGCTGCGCTCCTGCACAGAGGGTGTCTGAGTGTCAATGCTGCGAGTACTACTGCTCCTGTAGTGAGCAGGGAGTGGAGCTCTTCGTCCATCCGGTATATCCAAAGGCTGTAAGAGGAACACCATTGAACATGTAAGCATCAGTGTATATGTTCTATTCATACAGAAAACAAATGGTATTTCCTTTTACTTAATATTCTGTCACTATTACCATCATAATTTATTCTTCAGAGAATAAAAATAAAAAGTTTGTGTCTTAATTGTTGGGCATGTTACCTTTTTTGTACTAAAATTTTCTTTTCAAATAAGATTATTTGACTTAAAAATTCCATAGCTACAAAGGGGCTAGCAGGTAGCACGGTGGTGAAGTAACTGGATTTCACATGGCTGGCTGCGCAGTTTGAGTCCTGGCCCTGGCAGCTTGGGGAATATACCAGACACATGTGTGTATATGTCCAAGGTCCCAAGAGGAGAATGAAGAAGAGGCTGAAGCATGGCCATATCTTCTGGGGGTGTTCTCTCTCTCTCTCTCTTTCTCTCTCTCTCTTTTTCTCTCTCTCCGCCTCCAGTGAGCACAAAATCTTGTAGCAAAAGAAAAAAAAATCCATATCTCCTAAATATATTAGTAGATTAGTATTTCTTATAGTACTCCTTAAGAAGAACAAGAGTTCAAATACTGCAGCACTAATGTCTAATACTGTGACTCACATACAGAGGACATTCAATAAACATTTGCTGAATGAATTTGCTGAACTGCTAAAAAAAAAAATCACTTTTAACTGCTAGTAAGAAAAAGTGAAAGTCATTCACAACGTAAAGAGTTTTCTGTTTGTTCATTCTTTCCTATTTAAATTTTTTAGAGGCCAGGACCATAATCATACTTCCTATTTCCTTTGCAAATTACCCTTTCTTGTGAAGAGGTTTTCTATTAGTACTCGATAGAGAAATTTTTATTTATTTATTTTTTAGGTTTTTGTCATAGGGCTTGTGTGCTTGCCAGCAAAAAGAGAGACAGACAGAAAGTGAGAAATCACCCTCCTCCCCCAGTGGGATGGCCGTGCTGCAAGCCTCTTTCCTCCATTCTCCTCTTGGGACTTTGAGCATGCGCGCGCGCGCACACACACACGCACACACACACACACGCTCCTGGTGTTATTTTCAAGCCATCAGATCTAGGACTCAACCACAGACAGCCAAGTAGGAATCCAGCCATCTTAAACATCATGTCACTTGGTGGCCCCAATGGAGAATATTAACACAATTCAGAACAATCGTAATAATTTGGTATCTAACTAGTTAGAAGTACTTGTAACTTTGCTTGTTCTAAGTGGCTATACACAAACAGGAAAGCATGATCACAGAATCATATATTCTGGACTTGCAGACACCTCACAGTCATTAGTTCAAAATGTCTTATTTTCATAAATAAAAAGCCTAGAGATCAGAGCTACTGGTGGCACAGGACTTAAATTAAGTGACCTCACAGCTCTTGTTGCAAGGGCCTCTTTCTACTCCTACTACAAAATAGGTCCTATCCAAATTTCCTCATTTGTGTGCTAACAAAGTGAAGTCAACACGTAACATTCCACATATTAAAATCTTTCTCAAGTAATTAAAAATTGTTCCATTTATTATACAGAAAGGATTTCAAAGCTAAGAAAAAGAGCCAATGTACTGTTTATTTACTATTGATTTTCACTATTGAATGTGTCCCTTGCTTCTACTCTGAGCTTTGACATTTTAGAGATTTCAGAAACAGTGTCAGAGAGGACATGGAAGAAGTCTTAAACTGCCAAGATTAAAAATGTATCAATATTTATGTAGGAAACAAGTTAAAGCTGGAACCTGTGACTACCAAAATAAAAACTTTATTTATTGTATATAGTGCCAATAAATCAAAACTCAAAACAACTTCATAACCTGAAAATGACTACTCTATTGTAAATAGACTTCTCAATTATTTAAATAGTTTATTTTATAAACAAAAAGAGCAAATCTTTGCCAATTAGAAATAAAATGAAAGAATACTAATTTAGCAAAATTCTAAGAAAATATTACTTTAATAAAATTGTTAATATTGGTTATCAGTTTAAAAATTTATCAATTTGTAGCTAAAAAAAGATTGTGTTACCTTTCCTTACATGCTATTTGATAAATACAATTTCTCTTTATTTTCATTTCTTAATCTATAGTGGATAATATACACCAATTTCTTTAATTATTTTTGTTTTGTTGTGAGGTAGAATGATTACAGTAACAAAACAGATCTATATATTCATACAAAATAACAGTGAGAAATATAAAGGCTTGGAATATCAATATAATAAACATGAAAATTTTTTTTTAAATAGATTCATGGTGACACTTTGATTTATAAAAATTTAAGGTACACTTAATCATAAATCTAAAATTTCAAAAAATTAATATCTTAATTATAAGTCTGTATATTATCCCAGAATAAATCTGGAATGGCTATTATTAAGATGATTTATTTACAAGGACTATCTTAGTAAGCTTTATATTTTGGTATAGTTTTGCTTTGACTTTCTTAAAAAAATCAATAAATAGGAACCTGCAGATGGCATAATGGTTAGATTGTTGGCCTCCCACGTAGTCAACCACGGTTCAAGTTCTGAAGCCGGCAGCTTAAAAATCACACCGGGGATGGTGTGTGTGTACACAAAATTCCAAGAGGGGAATGGAGAAGAAGGATTGCAGCACAACCATCTCCCTAGGGGGTGATTCCTTGCTTCCTGTTTCTCTGGCGAGCATATTTCACCCCCCCATAACAAAAAAATCTCCCTCAAAAAAAAAAAAAAAGATATCAGTAAACATGTGCATGATGATCTCATCCTCCAAAAATTAGATAAATTTCAATTCCTTATATTACTACTCATCAAAAATTTTAAATATAGGACCAGTAGATGGTGTAATGATTATTTTGGTGGACTCCCACATATTCAACCATAGTTCAAGTCCCAGACCCGGTGGCTTGAAACTGACACTGGGTGCATGTGTGCACAAAATCTAGAGAGGAGAATGGAGGAGATGGTATTATGGCATAGCCATCCCCCTGGAGGGTGATTTCTTGATTTCTGTCTCTCAGTCTCTGGCTCTCTGGTAAGCACACATGCCCTATAGCAAGAACACTCTCTCAAAAATTGAAAAAATTTAAATGTATGAATGTTTTGAACTTGCAATTTCACTTACAGAAAATTTTTAGAAAGAGTACACAAGGTTTCTAAAGCACTGCTTGTGATAACAAAAACTTAAAGCAATCTAAATGTCCATCAATAAAGGATTTAAAATTATGGTACATTCACACAATGATTTACTATAGACTAGCTTGTGAACACACATACAGACACACACACACACACACACACACATACTGGGAAAGATACACAAGAAACCACAAATAAAGCTCATATCTACTAAAAATAATTAAGGGTTGGAAGAAAATTTTTGAGTCCTGGATGCAGCAGCTTGAGTGTATGTGAGTATGAACCCCCCAAATCCTGAGAGGAGACTGAATAGAAGGGATTGTGGTATGGTCATCCACCCAGGGGGCTGATTTTTCACTTTCTCTTTGGCAAGTACATGTGCTCTATGGAAAAAAATAATAAAATAAACACTATTGGAAGGAATTAGATACACATCTGATATACATATTAAATCATATTTTAGTGCCCCCCCCTTAAAAATTGAGAGAAATAATTAAGCCAAAAGTTACATAGTGGCATATTCAGTTGAGTGTATCTTTTAAAATGTAGTGAAATACAAGTTCATATGCAGTAGTATCCAGATATTTTTTTCTGGACCTGAGGTAATTTACAAAGTATTTTTCATTAATTAAATAATGGATCAAAGACTTAAATGTAAGAGAAACTAAAAATTTATAGAAGAAAACTAATTATTGTGACTTTGGATTAGGCAATGGTTCCTTAGTTACAACGTGAAAAACTCAAGCAACAAACTACAATGTAAACTAAACATCAAAATTTAAATGTTCTTCAAAGAATATCAAGAAAGTGAAAAGATAAATTAGCTAAATGGGATATAGTATCTTTCAAGTGACAGCCCAACTTTTAAATTGGGCAAAGAATATATTCAATAGTCAGGAAAGACATCAACATAATTTTCTTTTTTGGATAGAGATTTTTGCTATAGGGCACGTATGCTCGCCAGAGAGACAGAAGGTGAGAAATCGTCCCTCAGAGGGGATGGCCATGCTGCAATCCCTTCTTCTCCATTCTTCTCCTCGGGATTTTGGGCACACATGCACAGGCACAGGCATGAGTTTTAAGCTGCTGGGTCTGGGACTCAAATCACAGCCAACTATGTGGGAGTCCAGTCATGTACCCATTATGCCATATGCTGATCCCCAGACATATTTCTGCATGGAAAAATAAGCCATGACTTTCCAGACAACCTAATAAATAAACCTTTCTTCAAAGATTTACATATGACCAATAGCATATGAAAAGATCCTTAATAAAACTGGCCATCAGGAAATGTGAAACATCAATATAATTAGGTATCACTTTATACCCACTGGATGGCTATAAGAAAAACACAGATGAGTACAAGTGTTTACAAGGGTATAGAAAAATTAAAACCTTCACACAATGCTGGTAGGACTATAAAACGGCACAGCAACTTTGGAAAATACTCTGGAAGTTCCTAAAAAAATACTATGAAAAACAGTCTGGTAGTTCTTCAAAAGGTAAACATAAAGACATCAGCAGGTATATAAAGCAAGCAAAATTAACATTATATTCACACAAAAATTTACATATGAATGTTCATAGCAGCATTATTCACAATGGCTAAAAAGTACAAACAACCCAAATGTCCTTCAAGTGATGACTGGATACATAAAATCCATACAACTGAGAGTTATTTGGCAATAAAAGAAAAGTTGATACAGGCTACAAAGAGATGAACCTTAAAAATACTATGCTAAGTGAAAAAAGTAACAAAAGGTGACATAATGCAGAATCCATTCATATGAAATGTCTAGAACATGAAAATTCATAGATACAAAGTAAATTAGTGGTTATGTAGGGCTGGGGGTGCTAGAGGGAAATCAGGGATGACTACCAAAGGTAAAAAGTTTCTTTTGTAGGTGATGAACATGCTGTAAAATTATGTTTGCACAACTCTGTGGCCATGCTAAAAATGATCAAATTGTGCACTACATGGGTAAATTGTATGGTATGTGAATTGTATCTCAATAAAGTTGTTACCAAAAAAAGTACTTTGGAAACAGTTTGCAATATGAAAGAAAAAAGGAATTTAAATATCCCATGTAACCTTACCTTGGACACTTCTTCCTTCCCATTATTTTCTTTAATGAATACCTTTTCTAATTCGGGACTTATTCCTTCTACATTGCAGGGCACACGTGAAATAGATGATTTTGGCACTGATATATTTGACAGTGGCATAGGGACTGACCTTGATCCAGTAGCCTACGAGATAGAAAATAAAGTGGTATCAAATTATCTGTGGTTAAGGCAACCAAGAACTAAAAAGCATCGCAAATCTTAAAATCAAAACTTAATATACACGGTTATTTTTGACGTTTTAAAGACAGTAAGAATTCTGATCCATATATAGAAACTTAAGTTTTAAAGTAAAGAAGTAAGAAAAAAATTACGTAAGAGTCAACATAATCTTTGAAACTCCCTCTATGAAACAGAAAGGTATAACTGTATAATGTATACGTTTACTTGGTAGAAAAACAGCCAGCATCTTCTGCACTTATTTTTTTTCTTTTTGTGTTTAATTGGAAAAGCGTAGCTGAAATCACATAAGTTAAATGTATCACTTGACTTCACTGTATAGTTCTGTGTGTGTGTTGAAAGATTTGTTTTCCATATAGTGAAAATTACCTAAGTATTTTTCATTTCCATTTTGTCAGCCATTTAAAAAAACCTATTGGGGCACAGCCAGGTACTATGGGTCTGTAGTGAAGTGGACTGCAGTGCTGGAAGCCACATGGCAAACCACAGTTCAGGTCTCCCACCCAGTCTACCTAAAATGAACTGGGCACGTGTGCGCACACCCAAAATTCTGACAAGTTAGAAAAAGGGGATTGCAGTACGACCGGCTCCTATCAAGGGTGCCTCTCTCTCTCTACATATGTTCTCTACCATCAGTTAAAAAGAAAAGAAAATTTAGTAAGTAATGTGGCAATGATACTATGTTAAGTTCAACAAAATTCACTTAACGACTCTAAGGCTGTTTTTAAATTCCTTTCCAGGAGTTCTCGAAACTGATAGTTGTTATACCAAAAAAATATACCAAAAAAGGTAAGACAAGCATTTGATGCTCAAGGAACTTACACAAAAGGGAGGGAATAAAAAAAAATAAACATTAAAAAGAGGTAAAAATTAAAACAATTTTGGATCTCTAGCTTACATGGAAGGATTAAGAGTTGATATATGATTCATAATGAGGTGAATTGCTACTCTAACTAGTTAGCAAATTAAGAATATTTCCCATACTCAATGCTGTGCTCCTGCTATCTGTGAACTATTGCCCTTAAATGTCCTTTACCTTTTACTTATGTGTGAGCTTTCTTCATAGTGAACATCTAACTCTTCATACTTTTGTGTTTCTACAGTATGGGAATTTTTTTTAAGAATTATTTTATTGGGACCAGCAGTTAGCATAATGGCTATGTCGCTGGACTCCCATGTAGTTGACCACAGTTTGAGTCCTGGACCCAGTGCCTTAAACTCACGCCGGGCGCGTGTGCGTGCGTGCCCAAGATCCCGAGAAGAAAATGGAGGAGAAAGGGATTGCGGCATGGCCATCCCCCCTGGGGGGTGATTTCCTGCTTTCTGTCTCTCTGTCTGTCTCTGTCTGTCTGACACACATGCCCTATAGAAAAAAATAAAAAAAACTCTCCAAAAAAAAGAAAAAGAATTATTTTATTTAGCTTTATTTATTTATTTAAACTTGACCAGAGAAAGAGAGGGAAAGTGAGAAAGCAAGCCACTAGGTCTGGGACTCAAACCACAGTCGACTATGTGAGATTCCAGCGCCCCTAATCACCATGAGATGCCACCTGCCAGCCCCAGTATGGAATATTTTTCTTTCAGTACTTTTACAGTTTTCATATTTAAATACTTTATCATGACTTATTTTCATGTACAGTGTAAGGGTGAGGTGTAAGTATTTTTTGCCACATAGTAATCCAACTGCCTCAACATTTCTGTATAAACCTTGTATTTTATTTTCTTGAGCTACTATTTGATAATCCCTATTTATAACTCTATTTCAATTGCTATAATTTTGCAATATATCTTGCAGGAAATTCTTTTCAAGTTTTCTTCTCTTTTAATGGGCACTGCTTTTGAAAACATCTTTTCAAGTAATAAAAAAAATTCCTCTTAAACTTTCACTGGAATTCAAACAATCTGTACATTAATTTTAGGCAAAATGCTATTTGAAAACAGTCTTTCTATCCAATAATGTCCTAAGGCTTTCTATTTATGCCTTATATTACATATCCTCAATAAAGATTATCAGGCCAGTCGTGGTCTGGTGGTCAAGGGAACTGGATCTTACTGAGCCAACAGCATGCTTGGAGTCTCAGACTCAGTGGCTTGAAATCATGCCAATCATGCCAGGAGCATGTGCATGCGTACTCAAAATCCTGAAAGGAAGGAGAAATGGAAAAGGAATTATGGTGTGATCATTCTCCATAGGAGGTGCACTGTCCTGTCCTCCCTCTCCTTCTCTCTCTCTGCCTATGGCAAATGTGCTCTCTGGCCAAAAAAAAAAAAAAGTCATTTGCATAATTAAGTTTAATTCTAGGCATTTTCTATTTCTTCATTATATTTTAGATCATATTATTGCTGGTTTAAGAGAAAACTACTCAATTTTTAAATCTTTATATTTTATCTAATCTCATATTTCAAACATTTCCCTTGTATCATGGAAAATTCTAATCATAAACCTAATTAGAATAGCATAACGAATGATTAGGTATGCATAAGCCAGTTTCAAAAGTATCAACATTTGGCAATTTATTTAATCTAAATACTATTCCTTTTTTGTTCTTGGAATATTTTAAAGCACACTGTAGACTTCATTTCACCAACAAATATTTCAGTATAAATTAAAAAAAAGAATTTTTTTGGAGATTTTTTTTCTATAGGTTTGCATGCACTCGCCAAAGAGACAGACAGAAACAGAGAGAGAGAAAGCAAGAAATCACCCCCCAGGGGGATGGCCATGTCATAATCCCCTCTTCTCTACTCATCTCCTGGGATTCTGAGCATGCATAAGCACCCAATGTGAGTTTCAAGCCACAGGATCAGGGACTTGAACTGCAGTTGGCCATGTAGGAGTCCAGTGTCTTAATTATCATCACACTATCTGCTGGCCCCGAAAAAGATAATTAATTTTGAGATAATCATATGCCCCTTCCCCCCCCCAAAAAAAATGTAAATCTGAACAATTAAGTGTTTTTGTTAAGTCAAGTCAATTGAACTAGTCTAAGTCCACTGGATTCATAGAGAAAATGAGTTTGAAAAAATAAAAATAACATTAATTCTATCAGATGGAAGATAAAGGAAAGCATGCATGAATTTTCATTTCCAATGTCTGAGGTTTATCCATTTGTTTTACAGCTTTGGTGAGATATAAGTGTCATACAATAAAATAAATCCCATTTTAAGTATACAGTTCATTGGGCTTTGTTGAACATACACAGTCCTCCAAATAACAGTACAGTCACATTTAGAATTTTCTATCATCTAAAAATTTACTAGGGCTTCTGCAGTCAATCCTTACCTCCAACACTTTCTATACTGTTGCCTTTTTGAGAATTTAATACAATGAATTATACAATATGTAGCCTTTTGTCACTGACTTCTTTCAGTAAGCATGATGTCTGAAGATTCAACCATATGTGCATGTATCAATAGTAGTTCCTTACACTGTTCTGCTGAATCTTACTAATATCATATGGATATTATGTCATGATGTTTATCCATTTACCAGTTGACGGCTTTTTATTTCCACTTTCTTACTATCATAAATAACGCCTCTAAGACTGTTAACAAGTCTTTGTGTGAATGTGTTTTTATTTCACATGAACAGATACCAAAGCATGGAAATTCTGAGTTCAATGGTCAATTAATTCCTAAGAAAATGACAAACTGTTTACCAAAGTGGCTTTACGTGGCTGGCTACTCTAATTGTTCGACATCCTCATCAGTACTTGGTACTGTCAGTATTTTTCACTTTAGTGATCTTATCATTAGTTTTAGTATTTGCTTTGATCTGCTAAATAAATCACATATTATATGGGAATAGTTGTACTTCTTTTTCTTACTGCCCTATTTAGAACCCCTAAATTACTAACAAATTATGTCAATGATTACAAACATCTGTGGCATGATTTTTATTTTAACAGTAATACTGCCAATATTTTACTGTTAGGTTCTCACTACCTTTGTGGTAAGTCACATTAGGAAGTGTCCTATTTTTTAGTTTAATAAGAGTTATTGTTGCTATTTTAAAATTGCAAATGGATACTGGATTTTTATCAAATGTTACTTAGCATCTAGAAAATCAAGGGAATTCTTTCTACTTTGACTTTCTAATTCCATAAACTAAATTAATACATTTCCTAATGTTGAATCATCCTTATCTTTGTGAAAGGAATTTGTTTTGATACATGTCTTGGGTTTCTTCTGCTAACATTTTCACCAACATTTGTAAGTGAATTTGGTCTTAGAAAATATTTCCCAAATTTTGCTCCATAGGACATATTAGTACATGTTTCTGGAGGTAAATAAAAACTCTAGTCCTCAATTTCTTCATTGATAAAATATATAAAGAGAGACAGATGGGTTAAGAGACTTGCAAAGATTAAATAATATAAGGCCCATAGCTGTTCAGTAAATGAATAAACTAGGATTCCAGCCCAGACCATTATTAGCCTTGAGACCAATATACTCTGTTTTCTCTGCACTGAAAAGAAGGTAAACATATGGCTTAAAAAAAAAAAAAATCTTCTTATAACATTTTAAGGAACAGTAGTAATTCTACAGTGCTAAAGATTTACATTTTTTAAAAAATTTGTTTATTTCTGCCTTTCAAGAAAAAGAAAGACAAGCATCTTCAGCAGGGTCTCACTGCAGTGTGCCCACAGCCTTCCCAGCTGGCCAGAAGTATCAGCTGACCCAAAAATGGAATCTCTATCCTCTGTGTAACTTCAGCATGGAGCTGCTGCAGCTGGGCCTGGGTTATTCTTTTAAAACGTAAAATGATGAATGCACCCTTAATATTGAACCAAAAGGAATAATTACGATCTTGACAAGAAGTTAGCCTACCTGAGTGTGACTGATTGTTATATGGTTGCCATGGAGAGGTGACTGACGATCTTTTTCCTTACTGTGGCGACTACTTTGTTTACTGCGTTGTAGTTGCTGCCTCAGTTTGGCAATCTGCTTTGAGGGGAGAGAAAGAGAAGCAAGAAAATAAAAGTGAATACCAATTTTTTAATATTTACTTCTTCAATTTTTAGATGTTGACAAATGACCTTTTTCCTCAAGGTTTCAAGTTAAAATTTCATCATGGTGATTTATTTCTTCCAATTTTTTGAATAAGACTTTGAAAAAGAGACATGAATATATGTTACAAATGCTTCACTTCTACAAATTTAAATAGTGTTAAATACAAACTAAATTTCCCCAGATTATTTCAGATTTCACCTTCATAACACCAGAAATGTTTTTTTAAAAAACCTGTATAACAAAAAATAATTTTCAGATGCCTACTGACTGAAGTTAAACCTAATTTATTAATATAAGGATCACATTAATTTCTAAGATCCTGTCTTAGATAGGCTGAGTACTGCTATTTAAATGTTGTTTTGGATTTCAAATTTTTCCTACTTTTGGATTATTTGCATTTATATAATGAGATACCTTGGGGATGGAACCTAAGTCTAAACCTGAAATTCCTCTCTATCCACCTTATGCACATAGTCCCATGATAATTCTATGCAGTCTTTTTGTATTGCAGCATTTTGACTGCAACTTATCATATGAGATTAGAAATGGAATTTTCCACTTGTGGTCTCATGTGAACACTCAAAAAATCTAAGATTTTAGAGCATCTTGGATTTCAGATTTTCAGATTTGGAATGCTCAACCTGTAGGAAGAAAATGGATCTGTTTTATCAATGCCTAAACACTTCATAATTGCATATTCCATGAAGAAGGAGAATCAAAGCTATTTAGTATTATAACTTACTAATATTTAATACCATAGTATATATTACTCTTTATCCATACAACTTTTATTTCATATATATATGTGTGTGTGTGTGTGTGTGTGTGTGTGTGTGTGATATGACTTTTAAGAACAATATAATCGAGAGTGTATTTTACTAAGAAGGGTCAAACTCAAGGTTTAACAGAAAAGTCATTACTATAATATGGTCTGGAATTCATTAGATTAGTTATATATTTCAAGAGATGTATAATATACTTTAAGTGTGTTAGACAAAGAGCAAACAAAAAATTCCTGAGAATCTTAAAAAGAACCATTAGCAATTTAGGGAAAGTTATTTGTTTATCTTTTTTTTTTTTTTTTTCAGAGAGGTTTTTGGTATAGGGCATGTGCGCTCGCCAGAAAGACGGAGAGAGACAGAGAGACAGAAAGTGAGAAATCAACCCCCAAGGGGGATGGCCACACCACAATCCCTTCTCCTCCATTCTCCTCTTGAGATCCTGGAAACACACGCACATGTGCCCGGCACTGTGCCCGGCACTGAGTTTAAGCCACCAGGTCCGGGATGCGAACCATGATCAACTACATGGGAGTCCAGAGACATAGCCATTATGCTAACTGCTGGTCCCTTGTCTTCAATTTTAACTGTCAAAGGATTCGTGCACTCAGGAATGTACCTGAGTGTGTGTGAGAAGAGAGAAAACCCTGCCAACGGGGCACAGTCATGCTTCCTTTTTCTTCCATCTCTTTATCTTTTCAGAAACCTGGATTCACACAAACATATCCGTCAAGTTCTTTTCAAGCTGGGCCAGAATTCAAACCACTGTTTCCCACATAGGATCTAGCCTTTTATACACAGCCCTTAACCACTGTTTTATGGAGCCAGCCCTATGAAAGTTTAAATAAATTTAAATATTAAATATATTGGTATTATTTATTCTTGTAGAAAAGATGATAACATTAATCAACCAACAATTATTCCTTAAATACCTACAGTGAGCCCATTTTTCTTACATGATAGACAAATGTAAATATAAAATCAAGTAAAAAAAATATTGATTTCTTAGAGAGATAATGCAAAAATACAACATATTGTGGAAATAATTTAAATACCTTGACTAGCCATGGCAATAAAACATAATAGACAATTAAAATTAATGCCTATAAACTCTCAAAGGGAAAAGTACTGGGTTGTCAGAAAAATTGCGAAGTATTCTATGTTTTTCTATGCAAAAATGTATCATGAACATTCAGACAACCCAATATATAAACTGTGGAGAAAATAAATTTTTATCTGTGGAGAAAAGAAGAGAAACAGTATGAAAAGAAATTAAACACTTCTGTCAAAAGAATGATTTCTATTTTCTTTTAGATTAAGATTTTTAGATTCCTTTCCTTTTTTACAGTTTATGGATCTCTCATGCCATGTCCTTCTAAAAGATGTACAAATAAGATGATGTAAATATTTGTGTTCTCAGCTCTCTATTGAATGACATGATTTTCTTCTAGGAAACATTAATTTTCATGAGAAAAGGAATAAAAATTAGTAGGTAATCATTATAAATCAAGACATATTATTCCCTATGATAAAAAATAGAACTTCAAATTGTATAAGTCATTTAATTAGGACAGAAGTATTAAATTAAGCGTTTTCTGAATATTAATGATGCTTTAGTGGTGCTTCAAAATGTCCAAGAGCTTGTATAGATGAACTCAGAATACCTAGAGATTAATCAGGGTAATTTCTACTTACTCATTTTTAAAATAATCATTAAAAACAAACAAAAATCATCTCAAATTGATCTAATCAATCTATTTTTCAAGGCTTCTAACTCATAAAAATAAAAACAGAAAAGTTTTGTTGTAAACAGGTTTAACAAACTCTTTTAAAAGAAAAAGCATACATCATATCATAAACCTTACTTTGCTTGAAATACCAATTTAAACAGTGTGACCTTAACAGTTTTTTTCCCCCACGATTCTGTTTACCTTTGGATTATAACATTTACGCTCTTTATTTAAAGTTCAGTATGAATTATGGTAAAGGGAAATCCATCTTCCTAAATATATATATGCTTGGAACATTACAAAATCTAATCAGAAGTTGATGAAATAGAAGCAAGGCTCCTTCACCATAAAGTCTTCTTTTGCCTCAATATATAAGAGTGTTACAGTACGTTCAGAGGAATGGCAGACCTACAGCACATGGCAGTTCCAAATACTCCCACCTTTCACAATCACTACTTAGAATTTCCCTTCTCTTTTCAGCCTTTGATGTCAAAGAGTCTTCATGACTATCAGAAGCCACCTCTTCTCCCTAACCTCAGTAATAGTGGAGAACAAATACAAAGAATCTCTGGGAGAAAGGAGCAGAAGGAAGTTATAATTTCCCCTCTCACTTCATCCACAGCCCTGAATATCTTTCTAAAACAGCCTCTCTAAACCCACACTTCATCACACCACACACGCTTCTGGTCCTCAAATTGGTGGGCATATCCAATCTAGCAGCAATGATTAAATGCCCAACATAACTTTCCTTTAAAAAGGGAATATGAAGTTACAATGACTATGGATTTTTAAAACTAAAACTATAGATAAAGCATACTTTATTTTTTTAAACATTCATTAGCTAATCTGTGGCCTTAAAAAAAAATGAAGAAAAGGAGTCTTCTTTAAACATAAATGAGGCCCCCCCAAGACATTAGGTCCAAGGTTATATAAATTAGAGAATAAGTGACCCTGGGTCACAAAGAAGATGCAATAATTGCTCTGAGAAGAAACAGCATAAATAGTTATAAAAGAAAGATTAAAATATTTGTGGAATTAGATAAAATAAGGGGGACCAGCAGTTGGCATAAAGGCTATGTCAATGGACTCCCATGTAGTCGACTGTGGTTCGAGTCCTGGGCCCGGTGACTTAAACTCAGGCCAGGTGCGTGTGTGTGCGTGCCCAAGATCCCAAGAGGAGAATAGAGGAGAAGGGATTGTGGCGTGGCCATCCCCCCTGGGGGGTGACTTCTTGCTTTCTGCCTCTCTGTCTCTGTCTTTCTGGTGAACGTATGTGCCCTATAGCAAAAACCTCTCAAAAAAAAAAAAATTAAAAAAAATAAAAAACAGGAACTGGCCCCACTTAAAAATCTAAGTCCAGGAATACTTTTTTTTTTCTTTTTAATTTACCTCATTTATTTGCTATTTTTGTCCTGTTTGCCTTCTCCCTGCATTATTAACATCCAAAACCAAAATAAAACAAAACTCAACTCTTAGCCTCAAAAGACCAAACATTTTTTCCCCATGGACTGAAGGCAAGAGAAATACTTCTCAGAAGAAATTCTATTCTATAGTAGGCTAGGAAAATGAGAAATTATAACTTAAAAAGAACTAAGTAGTAGCAGTGGTAAGTGAAACAGGATTCTGGTGCTTTTGGAAGAGGAGAAAAAATTGGGGAATTAGCCTAGAACTAGGAGGCATTATATAGATTATCACTACCAAGTGACCTGGCATTCCCTCAGGTTAATCCTTATTATCCACTGGCACCAATGAGTAAGTATGAGGTAGTTCGGAATGCCATCAATTGTTATTTCTGCTGTTGTGATAGGATGGATAGTATGTCACTGTTATCCTAAGACAGACCTATAAATTTTATTTTCTATAAAAAAAAAACTGCTGCACGCAATGGTAAGGGACTATCTCACTATCACAGGGTGGTTGATATAACCAACAGTTCACTAACCAATGTCTCAGTGGGGAAGATATATCCTGGGTATCAGACACCTAACTTATAATCAAATTTTTAAGACATAACCCACTCAAGACCGGGGAATTAATTCTGGAGGTCTGTTTCTCCAATTTAACAGGAACAGTCTTTTGAAAAGAGAAAATGCAATGTATACCTGAAGCATAAATAGTAGTTTATATTCAACAGTCATAAACTTTGAACATTTAAAAACAACCTGCCCTAGGCTGTTATTTTCTGTTGTGCAGTCTGAGTACTGAACAAGTATCAGGCATGAGACTAAGAGGGTATGTATGGGGCCTAAAATCCAGGCCAAACCAAGCTCTAGAACCACATGGCCCAGTGTAGGTTCAGATATCTGGCCCAGCTGAACTGAAAGACACTGGAGGTGTACAAGTGCCCAAGATCCTAACAAGCTGGAGGCTGGGGAAAAGGAATTGCAAAGTGACCCTGTCATAGGTATTTCCCCCTCTACCATAC